GGTTTTTTACACATCGAGCAGCGTCCACACGGAGGGACCCGGTTTCAAAGCATCTACTGTTTAGGGTTCAGGGTTTAAGGTTTAGGGTGAATAGATGTCATGCAAAAGTGCATTTGTGCTGTTTCTACAGCTTCCACAGGGTATGCAGCATGTCTGTACTATATCACTGTGTGTTTTATGCCGTGTCTCACTCCCGGGAAGACTAGATATGAGACACTGCCACATCCATGCAGTTCTTCATGAAGTGATGGCATTAATCCGGAACTTGCCATATCCCTTCATATCCTATCATCCCATGTTGGGTCATGTGTAAAACCAGGGTCTACATGGGGAATCATACGAAATTGCAGCCTTAATTGAACCTTGTGATTTTATTCTCAAGCCCCAGCGTCCGCAGCAGAATGGGAAAATCCACCCTTACGTCGGGTTGCCCTGGCGTCGATGTCTACCTTGAGTCTACATGCGGATTACCAGTTTCTGATGTGTAAAAGTGTAAATATCGCGCTGATGCTTAATCTTCCCAATGCCAGCGTTTGCAGTCGATGATATGTATTCTCACTGAGTGCTGTGTGTTATCCCGGCCCCTGTACTAGCCACCAGTGAGTATCAGTCAGGGAGTATCTATACATTCTGGCAGATTTGTATACTTCAGCAGTCCAAGCTTGGTTCATGAAGCCAACCGACACCCTTTGAATCCTGTAGAAAGCCGCTAGAGGGTTTTCCTGTTGTAAGATACTTGAGGTGCGGAGACTTGGCCAACGCCGTGCAAGTGGAAGCCTAGCTGCAGATGATCACCGCCTCGGTGTTCAAATCTGTCTTAGTTTCACTGTATCATAGTCGCAGGCGTCCAGTGCTTCCCTCCGTCAGTCAGTGACTCTCAACAGCATGTGGGTGGTTGTCGAAATGATGGTCCCTTTTTGGATCCCTATTATAATACGGCACCTAATATTCAGGGTACCCAAAAGGGCTCATAATTTTGACAACCACCCATGTGCGTCGAGTGTGTGCCCCCTGCATGGAGGGAGTGCTTGACAAGTTTAGATCCTGTAAGTTGCAAAGTCTCCCATGCACATGAGAACTCATGTGCTTTTCTCTGCAACTTGCATAGCCCTGCAGCAAGCAGCAGTTACTGTATCAGGTTTCTTGCTCAAGAATGTCAGTATGAAATTCAGTTCGCGTACCTGCGCGTACCTGATGGATCTAGATGGTTTAGGTCAGTGTCATCAGTCGCAAATTATTGATGACCCTGTGCCGCTTGCAGTCAGGCTAGTTAATGGAGTTCCTTCGCATCTGCAGCCGGCGGATACTCCAAAGTTGAAAAGGGATTTGGTGAGTGCGTGATGTGCAGCGTGTACTTAACTGTGCCGTCCACATGAGGGTTACGGACATGCAACGCATGCAGTTGTTTAAAGCAGACTGCCCTATTTCGTGTTGCCTTGTTGATGACAGGAAGTCATCAAATGGTTCGCAGATCGTGTGGACATGATCCTAGTCCTTTTTGATGTGCCACTGGCTCAACATGCTGTAAAGACGGCAGCCCTGGACATGGATTACATCATATTACATCCATAGTCCTTAGGGGTTATATTGGGGTAATGGAAAAGCAAATGGAAACTGCTATATTCTTCAGGGGTTATATTGGGGTAATGGAAAAGAAAATGGAAACTACCATATTACATAGGGGTTATATTGGGGTACTGGAGAAGAAAACGCAAACTACTGAGGTCCAAGCTCGACATTTCAGATGAGTTTCGCCGAGTATTGCTTGCATTGAAGGGGCAGGCGTCTCAAGTCTTTGATATGTGAAGTTGTTCGTGATGTTGGGGGTTTCCCAAAATTAGGGGTACCATTTCAGGGGTCCCAATAATAAGGACTATAGTATTTTGGGGTTTATATTGGGGTCCCCTCATTTTGGGAAACTACCATATTGTTGTGTAGCGCCATGCAAGTTCCACGGGCATCAGCAGCTGCAAGCAGCACTGCCGAGGAATGATCAAAAGATTCACATCATTCTGAACAAGGCCGTTGTCATCTTGGTTGCCTTGTGACAGTTGAAGTCATGTCGTGTTTGCCCCTTGCACACAATGCATCAGCTTACTGGTGGCTTAATGGTGGTTAGTAGGGAACAACGGCAAATATCACGGGGATTTTGTAGGGATTATATTCCCTTATTCCCTATATATCCCCAATGACCACCAGTAACTCAGGCCCTAAACCCTGAACCCTAAACCCTAAACCCTGAACCCCTATATGACCAGTAAGTCAGGCCGATCAAGTAACGACGCCGCAGCTGATGCGCGTGTATGGGGTCAGGCTCTAAGAGCCCCTCGGAAGGCTGACTTACTGGATTGGTACTATAATGTACTATAGTAGTACTATAATGTACTATGGTAATACTATAAAGTACTATAGTATTAGTAGAATGTATTATAGTACAATAGTAGTACCATAATGTACTACAGGGTTGCTATAATGTACTATAGTAGCACTATAGCGTACGAAAGAAAAACAAAAATGTGCTATAGTATGATTATAGTGTACTATAGTACTACTATACTGTGCTATAGTACAGTAGTAGTACTATAATGTACTATGTTGTGCTATAAACAACTACTATACTAGAATGTACTAGAATGTATTAGAATGTACTAAAATATGGTGCAAGGGTGTCGGGTTGAGGGGTACAGGTTTTAGGGGTTGAATGGAAAAAATATGGAAGCTACAATAGTATGTTGGGGATGATATTGGGACATTGTACTTACTGGGGCTTTCTAGGGATTAAAGGAAGATGTAGGGGTTATGCCGGGATTATATTCCCTTATTCTGTGCGAGCCACCAGGAAGTCTTTGATGGTGCCATGTCACTGTGTAAACAAGAGGCAAGACGCGCAAACAATGAGAAAAAAGGCTACGTAGACGACTCCAGTTGATGGGTCCTATGACTCTCTGTCACTGGCAGTGGTACTACTACACTCCCGGAAACTAACATGGAAACCAAGAAGGAGCCAAGGGACTATATGGGTTTCCATGTTAGTTTGGGGGAGTGTATCAGTTGCGATCTTTTCGCATGCAGCTCTCCAGCATTGAAACTGCGGAATGGTGTGCAATGCACATGTCGAACGATGCAGGTATCGTGCGTGCCAAGTCTGCCATGCAAATGCAGTGAAGCCTTTCATCTGGTCTCTATGATACTCCAAGGCCCTCATGTGGTCCCTGGGCAAAGTAATAGCCAGCAGCCCAGCTGTTCTTGTGCAATGCACTCTGAATGTCAGCATAAGACATGGTGCGATCCAAGGATACCCCAGAAGTGTCCCGCGTTTACATCGGCTCTTACTGGGCTTGGGCCTTATAGTCCAAACCAGGTTTGGGCGTTGGTGCCCTACCTCGCGCCAATCAGTTTTCTTCAAAGGAAGTAGGGTGTGGTTTCCAGGACAATGACATATTATAATCTACCACAAAATGCTATAACATAATACTATATACTACAATATACTACTATATACTATAATCTATTCTAATATACTACTTTCTACGATGGTATATTATAGTATACTATAATATACTACGTGTTCGCGAGGGTGTTCGCAGTTCAGGATGGAGCACTGCGGAACGTAGAAATGCGAAATCTCTTTGAGTCGGAAGAGTCCATGGCTTACACCTTTCTTGGTTGTTAGTAGGGAATAGGGAATATGTTGGGATTGTATGGGAATAATGGAAAAGAAAAGGGAAACTACTGAATTATAGTAGGGTCTATATTGGGGTTATCGTAGGAAATAAGGGAATATTTTCCCTATAGAATCCTTATATAATATATTCCCATATTCCCTACTCACCACCAGTAAGTACAGCTTACATCAGCGTCCAGTTTCCGCGTCTGAACGGCTTCCTGCAGTATCCTGCTCAGGAATGACCTCTACACGGCCTTGTCGCAGATGCCCCGGGGTGCTGCAACGAGAAAGCTGAACGACTTGATCAAGCGGGCGAGACTGGCCCGGGCCGACCCCTCATGCCATCCACAGCATAGATGTGCATGCTTGTGTGCAGAGCCCAGGTGTTGGCATTCCTCCTAAACCACCTCAGGACTCGCGTTTTGGGGTTTTGGGGTTACTATTGGGGTTTATAGGGGTTATGTTGGGGTTGTATTGGGATAATGGAAAATAAAATGGAAACTGCTATTTAGGGTTTAGGGTTGCATCCGAGCGCCTTTATTGTGACAAATGCGCCCCCCTTTGTCCCACGAGGAACAAGATGCCATCCTTCATGGGCAAGAGCAAGGACTACGGCCAGCACAAGAGAGTTGAGTTGTATAATGTAGACCCATGAATAATAAACCCCGTCCTTTTAAGGGCCTGAATATGAGGATCCCTATTATAATCTTTATTAAGGGGAGGGGGTTTATTAATCAGGGGTCTACATTTTGCAGCCAAGCTATCCCCACGTCATCCCACATCAAAGCACATAACGGAAATGTAGTTTTGAAAGTCTGTTGTCCAGAGCCTAGCAGGCTCAAGGAAAATCTGTGCACAAAGGGCGCGCCAAATCAAACGGCCAAAGCAGTGTGGGCCAAAATTGTGTGTGGCTAAAGGCAGCCGACTTGAACTCCCCAAGGCCCAATGCCATAGTTTTGCTTGTGTAATTTACCAAACCACGGAGCCCTTGAGACTCGCCTGTGTAGGGCCAAGCTCTGTCCGAATGGATCAGCCCCACACAGTATCCCAGATTCTCCTGGAATAATCCCAGTTTCCATTTCATTTTCCATTTACTTTTCCATTTGATTCTCCACTATAGTAGTTTCCATTTTAATTTCCATTATCCCTATATAACCCCAATATATACCCTATAATCCCTATGTAGTTTCCATTTTATTTTCCATTATAGCTCATATGCTTCCAAAGGTTCGCAATTTTGCGGCGAGGCATCTTCACAACACTTTGTCTGGACGGAGTTGGTATTTTCCAGGACGGTTGGTTGGCATTTGCTCACCACCTTGTTGCCCGCATCATCTAGGATCCACTGCGTCGGAGATTTCTATTATCTACATGGAGTCAGTTGAAAAAGGCTTGTTGCTTTGAAGTATGCGAAGGGCGAAGGGTAGGAAGCAATCCTTGGCACGAGTCCGGGACTCCGCGCATCTCGTTGGTCGGGCACGGTGTCTGCCACGGTCCGTACCATCTGAACCGCCCGCCCGCACTGCTTGCACTGCCCACGCGGGCGCAGACTGTGCACACAGGCGGAAAGTAGCGCAGACGGGGCCAGGCCGCACAAGTAGCACGGCACAAGCGCAGCTGTTGCAGCAGGAAAGATAAAGCTGGCAATGCAGACGGCGAAGGCGGGGCACAGGCTGCAGATGATGCAGATGGCCCCGCGAAAGGGCAGAACCGTGTTCCGCCTGCACTGGCGCAAAGCATATCTTGAATCTGCCCAAAAAGAGATCCCAAAGCTAAAGAACCCCATTTGTGCCTTTCCCAGGTCGTATAGGTTGTCGATTTCTCGCCCGCAGCAGTAGCTTGTTGTCGCGCAGGAACAGCCGTTGCATGTTGCGTTTGGGGGTAGTGCGGGAACTGTAATCCCGATATAATCCCAATATAACCCCAATCCAACCCTAGTACGCTGTCATGCTTTGGTTTGGCATGCTTAGAGTGATCCGAGCAATGCTGCTGTGGCTGGACAACCACAGGAACCGAACCAGATGTCATCCTTGCATGATGGCCCATGCCCCCTTGGGTAGAGACATGCTATGAATATAGGTACGGTTATAGGGGCATGTATGGGCATTATATAGGGATTATTCTAGGGATCCACTCCCCCAATGACTAGTTGCTTGAAGTTCAGCACCGATTTAACGGCCGCGTCTTGTGCATCAAGTCAGGGCCATCCAGCGGTGCCAAATCAACAGTGCCCAGTTCCAGTGAAGCGACTGGTGTGAAAAGCACATAGTCGCCATCCGACCGGGCAATACCTACAGCATGCTCCACTTGCTTGGTTTGCAGGATTCCCGCACAGGCTTAACAGCCGTCTTGGTTTCCTTGCACCTTGCAGGAGCAGAAGAAGCTCATTGACAACCTTACCAATGTTTATGGAGACATCGCCAAGGTTCACGCAGTCTTGATTTGGGGATTTCCCAAAATTGGGGGTACCTTTTTTAGGGGTCCCCATAATAAGGACTATAGTATTTTGGGGCCTATATTGGGGTCCCCCTATTTGGGGAAACTACCATTTGGCACTTTGCACGCGGAGTTGAGGGCCTTTTGCCAGGAACGTGGTTTGGCAATGGGCGACTTCCCCGATCCAAATCTCATGAGGGCCCGGGGCCTTGACGAATTTCAGAGTCTCCTAGGGGTTTGTAGAACAGTAAAAATAGTGAATGACAATAACTGACAATAACGGACAATAACAATAATCATCATAATGATAGTAATAACAATAATAAAGATAGTAAGAATAATGAGAGTAATAGCAGTACTACTAAGAATAAGAGTACGTAATATTGGATTACTACTACTATTCCTACTACTATTACGAGTAGTATTACTAGTGGAACAATCCTTTTTGTTGGCGGAGCCATGTATCTCTGGCTCCCTCTCCACTGCACCTGTTCATCAACTGATGTGTTGGAAACAATGGTAACACCTCCTAGAGGACAAGCTGGAGAAGATGGACTTCACGAAGTTTCCGAAATTGGATAAGAAGAAGATGGACAATCTGGAGGAGCCGTTGCATGGGACGCATCCTCACAAACTTGGGCCGAACAGACGTCTGCTAAACCCTAAACCCTAATCCCCTCCCCCTAATATCAAACCCGCCCAACCCCCCCCTAATATTCCAAACTTCCCATTGTGGTGTATTAAATTAATTTTGACAGTATTTAATATTAGGGGGGGGGGGTAGGGGCGTTTGATATTAGGGGGAGAGGATAAAACCCTAAACCCAAAGCCCAAAACCCTAAACCCTAAGCCCAAAACCATAAGTCTGCAGGCCATGATCCACCAAGAGCTACCTCAGCTTCTGAGATTGACAACCGAGGAGGCGCAGTGGGGTTAGGGGGTGGGCGGGGGTTTAGGGTTTAGGGGTCGCCCAACGGCCAGGGTTCTCCCACAGCCCAGGTCTCGTCGATCGCGTCAAGTTCGGCTCGGCTTGGAAATTTTGGAGGGATGGGGTGGCTGGACGGGGAGGGGTTAATTACGTTCGCTTCAGCGACAGCCATCCTAACCTGTAAAACGCAGTATTTCGGGAACCCTCATGCAATCACACCGCATTCATGTTCGACAGCATCCGATTACCAAAGCATCCCTTCCCAAACCCTAATGACGTTCATGTCTGAGAGTATCGCATTACCAGAACAGCCATGCCCAAACTATAAGAACGTTCATGTTCGGGAGCACCCCATTACTAGACCATCCAAGCCCAAGCCATAAGAACGTTTGTGTTACAAATGCATCCAAGTACCGGAAACATTGCGCCCAGTGGGATGAAGTCTATGTCCTTCCCAGGAACCCTGATGCAAAAACACCGCCCGTAATGGGACAAAATGCATGTCATGTACAGCTTCTGATCACGCGAACACAGAAAAAAGCCTGACTATCAGCGCTGTGCTTCGTTTGCTATGCGCTTTTCGACCTGTAAAACGCAGTACTCTTGAACAGGGTCTTAATTTGGCCACGCACCTTCGCACTTTCTGAGGGTACGACGTAACACTTCTCATTGGCATTGTGCAAAAACCATTGGTTGTTGCCAAAAGTTTTGCATTTTTTCATTCCTAAAACGCGCAAAATTCTCATCCTCCGTCAAGGTTGCGCGCGGAATTTTACAAGAAAATTCTGCGCACTCATGACCCTCCGCTCCTCGAACGCACAATACCGTGCAAGCTGAATACACTGTAAAACGCAGTAGATTCTGTACTTTGACATTGTGTAATCTGAAGCTCGCATGGATCTTCCGGAGAACCCCTTCCGTTGCGCGTTGGGGTTTAGGGTGAGGAGGTGCAGGATGAATGGGGTAGTCTTGGTTTAAAACCAGCCTCCTGAAGCTTCAGGCGGCTGCGGCTGAAGCTGCTGAAGTGGTGTGTCTCTTAGAGTTAAGTTGTAACTTCTATTAAGTTCTATAAGCAATGGGACCCCAATATAGACCCCAATATACTATGAGCCTCATCTGGGCCCTAAAATGGTATCCCTAGTTTTAGGGAAAGTCCGAAGTGAGAAAGCGACCTTTCTGCAATTTCTGGGCTTCAGGGCCTGTCTGCGGATGCTGGGCAGCTAAGGCCCAGCTCTCTGTGGGGGCTTCGCCGTTCGCTGTCATGAAGGCGGGGAGCGTGGGGAATTGAAAAGACAATGGAAACTAATACAAAAGGGTTGTATTGGGGTATATGAGGGAATGGAAATGAAAACGGAAACTACCATAAAGGGGTTGTGTATAGGGGTAAATGTGCCTGCATATCTGCACATTGTCTGTGATTTTCATCCCTGCATGTAGCATCACAGTAGCCCATGCCAAAGGCTGTGCATAAGAACCCTAAACCCTAAACCGCGTTGATATTTGGTTGGTTGGATGGCTGTGCTGCCCTTGGCCCCAGGTGGACGGGCAAAGCGAACAAACCGTGTACCAAAACCAGCTGGGGCCCTTCAGCTTGCCTATTCTATCCCTAATAGTAACAATAGTGATAGTAATAGTAATAGTAGTAATAATCATAGATTTGTTTTGTAGTGTGGTTCTGATGTCTTAGGCATTGTTGATTGCATGTCTCGGGAAGTAGACGTGACCTTTTGATTGTTGCCAAGGTGGCTGACTTGTCCGAATGCCCATTCCTAAGTCCGATGTGGATAGTCACGTAGCAACAGTGCCAAGTGCAAAGAGTTTTGCTTGAATCGTTGCTTGTGTTTGTCGAGTTTTTGGTCAGGGCGTGCTGTCTGGCCAAATGCAGAAATCTCTCCAGTCTGGTGGGGAGGATAATTGTTATGACTGCAACGTGCTGGAGGAAGCAGAGGGTTTTGCGGGCAGCCAAGAGATCCAAGAGTTTAGCAACTCTCCGACATCATCCGACCATGGGTTGCCAGATATGCGGGTAGCGAGTGCGGTGACGTTGCGGGGACGGCTGCAGCAGATGATTTGTCGGCAGGGAGGGAGGGGGCTTGTGCCGATCATTGCGAGCTGGAGCAAAAAGAAGCATGTCGGTGAAAAAGCAGATCGGGAGACTTCTTCTCAGGTCGAGGAATACGAAGCAGACTTTCAAGCTGTTGGCAGGATGCTCGGGCGGCTCCAGCCGTTGCAACGAATCAATGCGTCTTCTCGCTCCCGAGGTCCCAACGATGCTGGGAAGATTTCTGGTTCGCAGGACGGGATCCGTCGTGCAGGGTAGGGTTGCGCCATCCCAAAGCAGACAATCGCTGTTCGCTTGACAATGCATCTTGAGAGACATGGCTGTTTGTATGGCACATTAGCAAGACATTCGACGCAGGCAGTGCCAGGTTGAACTTCAACTGGCTGATGTTGCTGTTTTGCCCTGAGGCAAAGGTCAAGCTCGAGGAAAGCAAGCTGCCCTCAAAGGTGCTGCATGCAATTTGGAACTTGTCTGACGTGGACAAGGACTGGTGGTTTCTTGGGGCCAAACTGACTCTAACATCTGCAGCAGTCCAGCATGAAGCTCCGACACAGCTGCAAAGGACGGTTTCCTATCTTTGCCAGAGTTCGCGCTAGCCCAGCACTTCATAAAGATGAAGTTGGCCGGGCAGGACACAAGCCATGGCGACCCTCGTGAATTTGTTTTTGATTGCTGACTTTTTGGTGCAACTTTACTGCCAGGATCTTCCTGCGTCTCTTCCCCCGCAGATGATTCCACCAGCTGAAGCTAACCGAGCTTAGCACATTCCCGCTTCCGGTGGGAGTGTGATCGTTTCGTCGAAATGGGGTGTGGAAGAAGAAGTTCTCCCGACACGCCGCTGCAGCTAATGCGGTTTCACGCAGGAAGGACACGGCAGTACACGGGCCTGCTGTGATCCTGCCCTGCAAGTAGAAGGCCTAGCGCATGCTTGTGCTGACCATCGATGGCCAGCGATGGCGCAAACGGTCAGCAGGTCAACACAGCTGCTGACTTATGCCCCTGGTGCTGTTCTATGGTCGGCAGAGCTTAGAAAAGAGATTCCATTTTATTTTCCATTATCCCAGTACTACCCCAACATTACCCCAAAATAACTCCAATATTATAGTAGTTTCCATTTTATTTTCCATTCTACCAGTACTACCCCAACATTAACCCCAATATAACCCCAATATACTATAGTAGTTTCCATTTTCTTTTCCATTATCCCAATAGAACCCAATATAAACCTTCTGAAAGACGTGATGAGCAGGACACCATCTCGAGCCCATGTTTACGTTTAGCGGTGCAGAGCTGTTTGGACATCGCTGTTGTGTCAGTCAGCCATTTCACGAACAGGCATGCATGCAAGGAGTGGCGGCTAAGAACTTTCTGGAGCTATCATCTCCAGTATCACATTGCTTTCAATGTCATGTCCTAGCCGGTAGTTCTGTTATAGGGCATTTAGGAGAATGTTAGATGCTTGTCAAACTTGAGCAATGTGCGGAGGCAGGGGGCCGAAGCCTGGAGAGTGAAACTGGGTTGCTGTTAAGGAACTGAATTTCAGTTACTATATTGGGGAAACCACATTAATTCATATACATGTATATCCATTATGGTATCCTAATTTAAACTCTTTAACAGCCACCCAGGAAAGAGTGAAGGCCTTCTGTCCCGGACTGTGAACTGGTCAAAGGTGTTGGATCAGATGCCAACGGAAAGACCGTCGTCGTTCTGTTCTACTGCTACCAAGGCTGTCCTTGCACTATAATAATGTAGTCTATCATCATACAATTATAGTTCCTTGTGGTAAACATATAGTACACTATAGTAAACTGTGGTAGGTTATGATACAATATAGTATTTTTCCCATAGTGTAGTGCGTTATGGTTTGTCCTTAGCATTTTATAGTATATCATGTTAGATTATGGTACATTACAGTACATTAAGGCAGATTGCCGTACATTATGGTATATTACCATCTATTCTAGTACGTTGTGGTAGGTAAAAAGTACGTTATGGTATACTTTCTTATAGTTTGCTTTCCTATTTGCCTTGGGTACTGCCCCCACTCAGAAACAGTTGGATAATAATTATAATATGGATATATATAGCCCTTAATGGGACCCCTAATATGGACTGTTACTGGGGGGGCAGTACCCAATATTTGCCACTGCAAAGCCTTGCAAGACACGCCCCCAAACCCCAAGCCCTAAACCCTTAACCTTGGGTACTGCCCCCACCCTAAACCCTAATTAAGCCCTAAGCCCTAAGCCCTAAACCACGTGACCAGGCCTGGGTGAGGAAGGCGCTTTCCGTTTAGCAGAAGAGACGGGGCCACAGCATGATCATGTCCGACACCATGGCTTGACTTAGTGATAAGGGAATGTATTGTAGAGGAGCCTTAATATTCTATAATCCTATATAGTGCCTTCGGGTTAGTAGGTAATAAGGGAATATATATATATATATCTATAGAGATATGTGTATATGTATATATAGATAGATATTATAGGCATTATATTCCCTTCTTCCCTACTACCCACCAGGAAGTTGAAGGACATCGTAGTTTCCGTCAGTTAGGGGTATCTTTTGGGGGCTCCCAATTAAAGTTCAATAGATAGAATTATAGTAGTTTTAGGTCTATATTGGGGTCCCCCTATTTATGAAGCTACCACATGTTATGGGATCAGATGCCTTGTGTCAGTTCAGTTGGTACCCTAAACCTCTAAACCCTGAACCCCTAAACCCCTGGACCCCTAAACCCCTAAACCCCTAAACCCCTAAACCCCCTAAACCCCTAACCCCTTAACCCTATCCCGCGGTGTTTGGCGCAGCCTTTCCGGCTGGCTCAAGCAAATTTTCCCTGACCCTTGTGCCATCCGGCAGTGAAGGCCTAATGTGCAAGTCATGGCCTCAGTCCTCCACTTGTTCTTAAGGCTTAGGGTTTGGGGTTTGGGGTTTGGGGTTTAGGGTTTAGGGTCTAGGGTTTAGGGTCTAGGGTTTAGGGTTTGGGGTTTAGGGTTTAGTTGTTCGTAGGGAACAAGAGAACACAACTCCGACAGAGTCCCTATGATCTACCACTCCACAGCGGGATCTATAGGACCTGGTGGGTTAAAGAAGCGTGCAATATATTCCTTAATTCCCTACTATACACCCAATATATGCACTGTTATAATGTAGTAGCTTCTATTGTCTGTTCCATTATCCCGATGTAGCCCCAACATACTCCCTTACCTCCTAGTAAGTTCTGTATATATATATATATTTATTTGTATTCACTTACTCCCTAAACCCTAAACCCTAAACCACCTACTATCCCCCAGTAAGTTTTTCCCTGGAGACGGTGTGAAGCAACAGTGCTTCAGGTCTGAGACCTACGTGCTGGACTCGGGCTTTGACCCAGATCAGTTTGTGGCCGACATCAAGGAAGCCAAGGCCTGGCTTTACTTTTAAAGGGGGAAAAAGGGGTTTAGGGTTTAGGGTTTAGGGTTGTTTCCCAAAATTAGGGGTACCGTTTTGGGGGTCCCGATTATAAGGACCATAGTATATTTGGGTCTACATGAGGGTCCCCCTGTTTTGGGAAACTACCATATAAATAGATTCCCTATGTAGGGCTCAAGGCTAAGGGTTTAGGGCCAGTTTAGGGTTTAGGGCTTAGGGGTGAGGGTTTAGGGCTTAGGGTTCAGGGCTTAGGGTTTAGGCTTTAGGCTTTAGGGCTTAGGGTTGTGGGTTTAAGGTTTAAAGGATTAGGGTTTAGGGTTTCACGTAAAAGGCGGTGGAGTTTTCATGGTCGATGTAAACAGATTCGGGGGTTTCCCAAACATAGCCGTACCTTCTTCGGTGTCGCCATAGTAAGGATTCTAGTATATTTAGGTCTATATTGGGGTCCCCCATTTCGGGAAACTCGCCAAAATTGGGGGTACCTTTTTGGGGGTCCCCATAATAAGGATTCTAATATATTAAGGTCTGTTTTGAGGTACTGCCATTTATGCGCTTGTAATTGTAAGACTTAACCCCTAAACCCTAAACCCTAAACCTCAACCCTAAACCCTCAACCCTAAACCCTACACCCTAAACCGCGCGGGAGGCAGCCGTGGGAGATGCCACGGAAGCAGATGCTCGTCACCTGCAAGGCTTGGTGCTGACCTCACAGGCGCCTTTGCTGCAACAGAAGTGGCTGAAGTGAGCCATACTCTAAACTCCTTAAAGGGGGTTATATAAGGGATTATATAGGGGATTACTATAGGGGATTATTATAGGGGATTATGATAGGGGTTATTAAGGGGGGTAGTAGGAGCTTGGACTATGTCTTAAGTGAAGCGAACTCAGCAACATTATCTTGACGTCTTTGTGCGTACTCACGTGCAGCTTTGCTGGTCCTTGCGCAGAAGCACGGCAAGTGATGTTTGTCAGGTCTTGCTTTATGGCGGCCTTTTGTCTGCAAAATGTGACACTGAGCGCCCGCCTGCGTGGTTTCCAGCCCACATGACTACTGTGAGTGTTCCCCTCTCCCATGTGCTAGCTTTGTCCGCAATGTCAATCGACCTGCTTGTGCTTGAAGGTAAGCATCGGTGATGTTTCAACTCATCATCGAGCAAATTCCTTGTTCATGTAAAGGTCATTCCTTGCTGCTGCTTGGTGCAGCTCTGCCAAGCTATTCCTGGGTCTTGTTGGCCACAGGCCTGGATCCAGCTTAAAAGTGCAGTAGGCAAGTTGTCAGCTGTAAGTGGTTGCAGCGCAGGCGCATTCATGATCTCTTTCGCCCGATGCATGAAGTGGACCATCATTGGTCATCACGTCTCGCACGGAGGCACCAGACCTAGTGCGTCTTGTTTTGTGGGCTTGCAAGAGCCTGCTGTCCGTGGAAGACTGGCCCCAGGTTTTGACAAGCTGCAGAAGTCGCATCCAAACGCTCTGCCATCGCACTACAAGCTTCCTGGCTGCTAACCCCTACATGACCCCAATATTATAGTAGTTTCCATTTGATTTTCCATTATCCTTGTATTATCCCAACATATACCCTATAATCCCCATATAACCCCTATATAACCCATGCCGGAGGCAGATTTCTGTAGACTGGTGAAGCCCCAGGCGCGGCGTTTTCGCGATTGGTGTCCGCCGCTTTTTTGATTGGATGGACTGGATGCTGCCGCAGGCTTGGGAGGCTCAGTTTTGTTGGCAAGGTTGTTAGTCTGTTGGTCCCCAATACTATAGTACTTTCCATTTGATTCTCCATTATCCCAATATTATCCCAATATATACCCTACAATCCCCATATAAGCCCTATACTGGTACTCCTAGCGAGGTGTTGGAGCATGTTGCAATGTAGTGGATCAGACGTGCAGCCAGAGCTAAGCGACATTGATGTCAAGAGATCTAAGGATGTTGAGCACAACAAGGCCTCACGCCGCTTTTGTTGGTCAGTTTCTCCTGTTCGCAGCATGCGCCAACTATAACCCCTATATAACCCGAATATTATAGTAGTTTCCATTTGATTTTCCATTATCCCAATATTCTCCCAATATATACCCTATAATCCCCATATAACCTTTATATAACCCCATATAGCCCCTATATAACCCCATATAACCCTAACCAGCGAGGCTCATCATACCCAATATACCCCAATATACTATAGTAGTTTCCATTATCCCATTCCAACCCCTAAGCCCCTAAACCCTAAACCCTAGACCCCTAAACCCCTAAACCCTAACCCCTAAACCCTAAATCCTAAACCCTAAACTGAGTGAGCCCGGGGCCGTCGAGCAGGGCGAAGGCGCCGAAGCCGGCAGGCGAGGCAGCTCTCTGAGGCCCCTCTGACCAGGACTGGCAGCTCCGAGGTGGGGGCAAGGGCGAATTTTCGCGAGCCATCCCACAACGCCTGTCGGGGGTTTCTCAAGGGCTTTTCAGGAGTCCCAGGGGGGCCAGGGGCCTCTCAGGGTCTTCCAACGGGTCTGTAGGCCTTTCGCACCCGGCCTCTGATGCCTCTCAAGGCCTCCAGGCCTTGCGTTCAGATCAGGAATTCTGCTCCAAGCACAAGCTTCCAGGCCCAGACAAGATTGGGAACGTCCAGTCAGTGCACCATCTAAAGAAAACTAAAGGCCTCGAGCCA